CATAAAAGAAAATAAATATAGCACATTCAAAGCATTTCCCCAGTAACAATAGCTCACAATTGCTTTAAAAGTTGAGCTATTGTCAGGAAAATGTGCAGTGGCATACAAACTAAGAGGAAATGGGAATATAGTAAACATGATCTTTAAGTTACAAAAAATTATACTTGCTCACCTGCAAACTCTCTTATTTCAAGTTAATCATACATGCACACCAAAAGAAGACAATGTACACGTACACTCATAAAACACCAATGCAATACATAATGTACTGCAATGTCATCACTAAGAATGATAGATTTTCAACTAAGAAAAAAAGGTAAATCTGCAGTATAACAATTGCAAGTGTACTGTAGTGTCAATGTGTCTCACCGTGGGCATCACGGTAGTAAGCATGAGTAACACTGCGAAACCGCTCCTGTCCAGCTGTGTCCCATATCTGAAGAGAAAAGTTTCAGTATTTTTCATTTTAATGTCTTCTGTTTGAACTTTTTTTTTTTTTTTTTTTTTTTTTTTTTTGCAGAAAACTGCGAAACAAAGTTGATGAGAGTGGTGAGACTGAACCGAAGCCATCAGTTGAAAGGTGCTAAAACAGTCTACAGAGCTGAGGGGAACTGCAGAGTCGGGTGATAATTCCTCTGTGGATTTGTTCTGAGCAACCCATTTCACACTGAAATTTGATCTACTGTTATTATAAAAATACAAATGAATGCAGCTTTAAGGTCACAGCACATTCTGCATAAAAAATAAATCAGTGGTTAAATATGCATTAACTAAAAATTTACAGTCTGATAAACCAAGTGAAAATGAGAGAATGTGGTGTCTCTCCACTATTCTACCCCCTCCATGACATTCTGCTGCCTCTAGCACCTCTGTTGTTATTCCAGCTTCTCTACCTTGCGTTTTCAAACTATTCTCTGTAAATTAATCATGCCTGCCAGCTAGCGAATGTTATAAGTGTTTTTTTGAACAAAAAGTAATCATTTCAGCAATCTAAAAGTCTGAAATAGTGGTGGGTCAGGTGGAAATGGTGGTTGTAAAACTGAAGACGCTGCATAGAGAGTGGGACAAAGAAAGAACAAAAACCAGGGTTATCGCCAGTTTGGCTTTTTGAGATGGGGAGTCAGAAACAGCCAACGGAGCCTAACCTGACTCAGATATGATGATCTTCCTGCTAAAGCTAATGTATTTGTTTTGGAAACATTGACCACAGTCATGATTTTGCCTTTGTACTGAATTAACATGATTTTACTTTTGAAATAATTTAAGATTTCTCTAACATTAGTACACTGTCACATTAGCTTTAACTGGAGCGTTCTACTGGACTGCCAAATTTACTTGTTAGTCGGCTAACGCTAGCCTCAGTCTGTATTTTTGATCATTTGTCACAACCTGGTATCCGTAGCATTGCAAGGAAAGAGGCGTCAGCTTGTTTTAAGTTTCACTAGACCCTTTAGTGACTGAAGAGTAGCTTTAATAATAACTTGGCTGTTATCTTTTACATCATTTCTCATTTTTAGCTCAGTCTAGGTCATGGTGAGATTGAATGTAAATTAGATTTGGCTGATACCATTTGTCCTGTTGTACAAATTTGGCTCCAATTGCACTTACATTTTCCCCCGTCTCTCAAGCAGGCAGTGACATCACCCACTTGGTTGTTGTATAAAAGACATTTCCCAGATTTTTCTATATTTTTCTGGCCCATCACCTGCTTGAATATGGGTGTTATGGTTCCCTTTGCATACTTAACCATCTTTCTGAGACATGTCAGCTTTGATGCTGGCACTGCCTCCTGGCTGCCCATTAGCAAAACCTTCCCACCAGGATACAATTGGCAGTAATGAAGAATGGCAACTACGGGAGGACTAGTAAATTCTCTGGGCGTTTGTAAGCTACAGGCTGCTCTGGAAGCTGTCTTAAAGCCAATTAACCCCAGATGAATACATCACCAAGCAGCGGCCCACTCCACCACCCTATCAACCCCTAATTAAGATCATTAGGGATGATTCACATACTGTAATTACTTCCTCTGTTTGACCAAAATATCAAGCATACAGTGCAACAGCGCCGAGTTTTTCTCAGTATGGTCGCCAGGACTTAAAAACAGTGAATGAAATGGGCATATGGAAGAAAGCACAAAGCCTAATGAAAAGTGGTCATGGAGATGGACAAAATCTAATTATCATTCAGGGGCTTTTGATGTCCAGATCACTGATCATCCTCACAAAGAAAGGCCACAGTGCTTTACTTCATGTTGTGCCATTAGCTATACAGTAGCTCAGGGGCGTTGTAAGAAATACAACTGTACTGGGGCACAGACCCCCCATTACTCAAATATTTATTGTACAAAACCTGACCACTGCACCTCAGCTTATATTTTGCTTTGACATCCTGGATTAAAACAACAAATCATTTCTTATCCCCTTATTATTAATCTAAATTAATCCACTGCCAAATAAAGGAGTTTGTTAAAACTTGATCCTGTAATTTCACTGGGGAACAGCAGATCAATACAGGGGCATGTGCCCCAGTAAGAGGGGTCTAACGACGCCCATGCGGTAGCTGATGCACATGCCTCAGTTGTGCCTAAAGCTAAAACTAAAAGGGGCTGCATCTTCAAGACAGATGGGGTTGCAAACAGGGCCTGACAGCTAGAGACCGGCTCTTATTGGGTTGACACATTTCTTCAACCACACGTATAGAAACTGTACTAGAAATGATGATTGTCAGTACAAATTAAAATTCTTACCTGGAGCTTCACCTTAACTCCATCAATGTTCAGGACTTTATTCTGGAAATGAAAGCAAGAAATCATAAGTGGCAAATCCTAAATGTAAACATTTTTTATATAACCACCAACAGCTTCATAGTGTATGGAAGAAACATCCTCAGGTGTGTGTGTGTGTGTGTGTGTGTGGTCACACACCAGACTGAACAGTCTCTTTCGCTCATCTACCCAACGCACACTCCTCTCTCCATCAATATTGCATGTCTCCACCTCACCACAGTTTATCAAAAAAAAAAAAAACACTCTTCTGTAACATTCTCAATATGTATCAAAATGGAGGGCAATATTTCATATCCTATATTTCTTGGGAGATTCACATCAATACATCTATTTCACCACCATTTATTATTTTCTACAAGCGACTGCAGTTGAAAAGAGGAGGTCAGTTACCCACAGCCCTCCCGGTATGTCAGTGTAGATTATACCACCTCAGAGGGCTCCCCCTGCAGTCATCCCTCCTGAGAATGACTGCTGGCCTTCTACGTCCCTGATCCCCGAGGAGAAACAGAACATATTCAACCCCAACAACATGCTGCTAATCTGCCAGCAGAGCACTAAGAAATAGATACGGTCTTTGTTGATGTGTTCAGCTGATTTACCTCCAAGAATCACAAAGGAGAATTCTCATAAACATTCATGGCCATGTCGAGCTGCAAGCTAGTGAGCTCTGATAAGAATCAGTCTCAAAACACTTTCTCTCTGATGCTGTTGTCACTAAAAAAAAAAAAAAAAACGAAAAACAGCCCACAATGTGCTTGAAGGCTTCATAAATATTTAGTGACCCAGCAGAAGAAGCTCACAATAGCCCTGTGGAGAGGATTTTGGGTGGTTACCCAGGTCTGATTGCACTAATAATTATGTTAGATTTGTTAAAAGGAAAGTTGGAATTTGCCAGAACAGACCATAATAATACAGATTTAATAAGCTCCGAGTGTGGACTGCGCAGGATAACAGGTCTCTGAGCAGCTTGTATGTGTTAGACTACTGTGGTAAGCTGGGGAATTTAAAGGTACTGTTCATTAAAGACTGCCAATTATACCTCCAGCAACAACCAAAAGGCTCAGCACCTCACAAGCTGATATAGTTCTGCTCTGTGTTAATTGCCTACAGTTTGTTTACAATTCACAGAGGGCTGGCTGAAAAGCTTGCACCACTTTCTGATCAATTTCATTCCAAGTCTCAACACTACACATTGCACAAACAGAGCACGTCTTCAAATACAAACTGTTCCTACCTGCCAGCATCGTTTCTCCCAAAAGGTACATAAGCGAGTAGGTACAGTCAGTACAGAAAGAGTCTAGGAGCACTTCTCAGGGACCATAAATTACAAATGTATGAGCAGCTTTCAGAGGGGTCTGTGAGGTGTGAGCCAATAAAACATTATTGGCAGCGGAGTGAGACAAAGAACAGATGCGTGATGGCCACAAAAAGGTAGTTTATGAAACAAATTTGCATTATTGAAAAGAATTATGAGAACGAAGATAAATGATAAGGTTTTCAAATGTGTGTCTCTTTTTGCTCTGAGGGCTGCTTAGCCTCAGCACACCCACCCCAGAAATAAAAGCAATGGGGGAAATAAATTAAGAACATGAACAGACAGAGGGCTCTACTCTGCAGTTAACTCAAGTGCCAGCTGTCATGTTTTCCAAGTCATGCTGAGACACACACACACACACACACACACACACACACACTTTCACATACTGTCAACACCTGAACCCTCCCTGTCTGCTACAGAGAGGCACAAGTTTTATCAGCTGGCACTGAATGAAATTTGGTGATTTAAAAAATAAGTCGCTCCTTTTCCTTCTCTCTCTGTTCATCTTTCAAGCCACTGAATCTCAGTTCAAAACTGTTTTGTACAAATATGGATCTTTGGCCACTTCCTGTAAAAAGGGATCATGTGCTCGGTTTTTTTTTTTAAGAACAGAAGCATTCAAAAAAATCCAAGTGTGGGTCAAAATTAACCTATACAACTGGTGTACCTCAACAACCAGTGGACATCATTTAACTTACTGTACCAGAGCAACAACTGTAGTTGTAAATGCAGGTAAAACGCCGGTAGCTCACAGCCTGCACTCATCGTGTTTCTGGTCATGTGTAGCCTATTAGTATAGTTTATGGTTTACCTCTGTGTGTGACGCAAAACCTTTTTAGCTAACATGTAGCTAAATGACTCTCTTGTTATTTAAGAAGCTGACATTTCATTTTCTCAATTGGTCGTCAAATGCACAGACATCTTGTTATTAATAAGTCTCCTCTCCTCACTCCCCCCCTCATTTAGGCTCTAATTTTCTCTCTCTTTCACTTACATAATCTATATTTGCTGACCCTGCAGTGTCACCAGGGATCCCTTAGCTAATGCCAATTTTCATGAAACCTTCAGTTTGCGCATCCTTCATTTATACATGAATATATGAAAACATGTAGTGTACAGCACATTTCATACTGAAGCAAACACACATACAGTACGCTACATGCACACATACAGTAGGCTACAACCAGTAGTAGTGCATGAAAACACTGCATGGCAAAATGAAAATCTCTCTCTCCTCTGCCCTCCCTCTTAGAGAAGTACTATTTATTTTGGCCCAATATCATCACAGACTTCTCCAAAGAAATTTGCCAGCACATATGCTGCTCTGATTTATTACAGTTTTTCTTCAACTGCTGAGACACATTTCCTGACATAATGCACCAATTTCTCAAAACTATAAATGGGAAAAATCATACAGACCTATAGAAACTTCAAATTTAACAATATACAAAACAGTCCAAAGTCATATAGTGTAAACTATGCATTTCCATCTGAAGTAAATGTTGCCCTCAAATGGACCACAAACAGAAAATACAGAGACCAGGCCACTTGTGGTGAGATTGATTCAAAACACACAAAAACTACATTTCCTTTTGAAAGCTTTATTGCCAAACTCATTTTGGGTGAAACACTCACCCTTGAAAGAAGTCATAAAGCAAATGCAGTGGAAGTTGTAGGCCTAACTTTCAAGTTCCTTCCAGCTGCATGCTTAACATCCTATGCTCCATGTGCACGTTCCACCAGCAAGCGTACCAGACCTTCACTGAATATGGTCCTTGTTTCATTAGGCTAAGGTAAAAAACTTTGTTAGGTTCAAAAACAGATTGTGGACTGCCTTAAAATAACCTTTATCTTCACGGTTACAATAACAAACGCGTAGCTAAGGTTGTTGAACTGTCAACTTTTCACACAGGGACTGAACACCAGTGTCCTGTGGAAAACTCCGATGGTTTCTGACCCATCAGTCCATATCAACCTCCTCCTCAGATTGACTTTGTTGCTCTAACTTCCTCCTTGGCTTGTGTCGTCATTACTACGGCTGCTACAGGTCACCTGACTATAACACGTCACTGTTCGTCGTATTAACCTGCTGGCACAAATGACAGACTTTTTTTTTTTTTTTTTAATAACAGGACAGTCTATCATGCCATGATTAAATATTCATGCTGCTCCTCAGGGCTCGTCTCTCTAGATCCCTGTGACATTAGGGCAGCAGGTGGCAAAGCTGTTTTTCGTTAATTACAGATATCTCCCTAGGCAGAAGTGAACTCCCACCCAACACATATACGCATGCATAGATATTGTACACATGCACAGACTTGGTCATTCAAGTGAAGCCGACAGCTTGATAATGTGATAAGGGCCGGGGCTTGTATATCAGCACAACAAAACAGCTCAGCTCTAATTATAGAACTGATTGCATTAGAACAGTTAATGGCAAGCAACATGGCTTTATGGTAAGGTCACACATACATATAAGAGTCCTTGTGCTCAGCTGCACCTTTCCCTGTACATTGTAGCTACAACTTCACCTTAATTCAATTCATTTTTCAAGCAGAAAAAAAAACAAAAAAAAAAAAACATCCTCTTGCTGGCATGATTACGCTTGGCACTTTAATTGCACCCACTCAGAGAAAGCAGGCGGACACAGGCTGTCAGGCAGGAGAGCAGATAATGGAGAAATCAGGCAGCCATCCCTCCACTAACTATAAAAAAGCCTGTAGATGTTGAAGACAAGTGAAAGACAGATGCATAAAGAAAGTCATGATTGAAGAGATGGCCTGTCAGTGACATCCACAATGATAGAGGAAGTATCAGAGATGAACGGAAGCTTACAAAAGAGAAGAGGCATCAATTCACAGCTTGATTTTTTTGGATGGGTTCGTTATCATCATCATCATCATCTCACATGCCAGACCTGCCTCTCTCCCTGTTGTCTTCTTTTCCATCTCTTTTTATTGCCTGTTCTCTAAAATGAGCAGACACTGAGACTCATCATGGTATCTGCAGGTTTTAACTTTTCACATCCTTCCTAGAACCACATTTAAAGACCTAAATTGTCCTGTGAGGAGACTCAAGAATTTAGATGTAGTCTGCATAGTCAACTGCATTTTGCACTGTGTCTTATACAATACCACAAAGAACAATATCACAAAATTAAAATGAACTTACTGTGCAGTCATACAAAAGTGCATCAAGTTTGTGCCTCCAACTGAGCAGCAGTGATTACATGATGACTAACAGCCACTTGTTGCATGAGTCACTCTCTCAAAAAACATGCTGCTGAGGATGATGGCTTCATGTTCCTCTCAATAAAGAGATGTTCAGCCATTACACAGACACTTCAAAATGCAGCATATTTATAACATGGTCCAAAAAGTTTCATCAAAATTCAGCTAAAGGCTCAAGTCTAAATCAGTCGGCAGTGAGTATTTGGGGGTGTACATCATACACACATGCGCAGAGTTGTTTCCAGTCAAAGATGAAAGTAAAGAGAAAGGGCTAGGGTTAGAAAATGATTCATATCACACTTGTGCCATCGCTGAGAATGCATTGGCTCATTAGTCAGTGGTGGCTCACTCAGCCTGCATGAGTGCATCTGTGTATGCATGTGCATGCTGTGTGTGTGTGTGTGTGTGTGTGTGTGTGTCTGAGTCATGTCTGATAAGTTTCAAACTAGGGCTGC